AGGGTGAGCCGACGCAACCACTGCCCGTATCCGTTTCACTGTCCCGTGTAATTCTAGTAGTCCGAAAATGAACGCGCTCTGCACATTCCGATTACTGTGGGACGAAAAGACGTCGAGGCGCGCGCTTTCATCGATAGCGGCGCAACAGGAATCTTCATCAGCCCGAGATTCGTCCGAGAGCATCGACTTCGGACAGAGCCCCTTCCCCGACCCATCCCCGTCTTCAACGTGGATGGAACTCCGAACAAGGAAGCACTCATCACGCGAAGAGCCCTCTTATCTTACAAGATAAGCGGAGAACCCCGATTTGTCAAAGCCTACGTCGCCAGCATCGGCAAAGAAGACATCATCTTCGGCCATACCTGGCTCAAGCTCGAAAACCCCAAGATAGACTGGAAGACCGGACAAGTTGAGCTAAACCACCGGTGGACGAAAGACGAGACCAGGGCCTGGAAGATGGACCTGTACCAAAGGCGAGTGGCTCGGCTAGAACTGAAGAAGGCCGTAACTACCCCACTCCCAGAACCAACGGAGGACGAATTCGTCGTCATCTCCACCTCGGAGCACGCAACCCTCCCCGAACGAAAGACTAGCGGCGTAGCAGGATATGACATCTCTGCTGCGCATCAACTCATCATCCCTGCCCAATGACGAGGCCTGGTTGGCACCGATCTTATCATGGCTATCCCCGAAGGACACTACGGAAGAATCACACCTCGGTCTGGTCTAGCGCTAAAAGAAATCGATGTCGCTGCAGGAGTAATCGACTCCGATTACCGAGGCAAGGTCTCAGTCCTGCTGGTCAATAACTCTGACCTCCCATTCACCGTCAAAGCTGGCGACCAAGTTGCCCAGCTCATCCTTGAAAGGATAAGCACCCCACCAGTAACGCTAACCGACTGCATCGACGAAACAGAACATGGGAAGGATGGGTTTGGGTCAACGGGTATTGCGTCCATCGAGGAACAAGCGGAGGACATCGACAATGATGAGTTCATCATTTCCTACTTATCCGGAACACCGATGATCACCAAGTACGAGAAACAGGAACCCCTGGCAGTGAGGGACGTTCTGCTTAAGGAGCGACTCCCTGAACTTTCATCTGGCTACAAACAACTTCACAACGGCATGATCTGGAAGATCCACCACGACATTAGGCGCGTCACCACTTCCACCGAACTTGCAGCATCGAACACCCAAGGCAAGACAGAAAAAACGCTACCACAGATGGTACCATCCTACCTACACGATCTCCTCCCCGTCTTCAACAAAGGCACTGCTGCGCGACTTCCAGACCACACCGAATATGACCACGAAATCAACCTCAAGGAGGGCTTCGCGGACATGAAGCAACAGGTCTATCCGCTCAACCCGCAGCAACGAAAGGAACTCGACAAGTTCCTCGAAGAGAACCTGAGTAAAGGGTACATTTGCCCTTCAAAATCCCCGTTGGCGAGTCCATTCTTCTTTGTTGGTAAAAAGGACGGTTCACTATGCCCCTGTCAAGACTACCGGCTGCTCAATGAGAACACGGTCAAGGATCGATACCCGCTCCTGCTTATATCGGACCTCCTCGACAAGTTGAAGCATGCCAAGGTGTTCACGAAGATGGACCTCCACGCCGGATACAACAACGTCCGAATCAAGAAAGGGGACGAATGGAAGGCAGCGTTCATTGTACCCGGAACTGATGGCAAACCGCCGCAGTTGTATGAACCAATGGTGATGTTCTTTGGGCTGTGTAATTCCCCCACTACGTTTCAGCGGATGATGAACACAATATTCGCAGACATGCTTCAAGAAGGCTGGCTCTGCATCTACATGGACGACATCCTGATCTTTTCCCAGGACAAGGCAGAACATGAAGAACGAACACGACGTGTTATCGAACGACTTCGACAACACGACCTCTACCTCAAACTGGAGAAATGTGCCTTCGATGTCACCGAAGTCGAATTCCTCGGCATGATCATCCGCCCAGGAGAAATTGCAATGGACCCCGTCAAACTAGCTGGCATTGCAGATTGGCCAGTGTCGTCCAACCTCAGGCAAGTACGCGCCTTCGTTGGATTTGGAAACTTTTACCGCTGGTTTATCAAAGGCTTCTCGGACAAAGCGCAACCGCTGGTTGCTCTCACCCGGAAGGATGTCGCCTGGACCTGGGGATAGGACCAACAGAAAGCCTTCGAAACCCTCAAGAAGGCATTCCTAGACGAACCGGTACTACGCATGCCAGATCCCGATCGACCCTTCGCTATCGAAACCGACGCCTCAAAGTTTGCCACCGGAGCGGTGCTACGCCAACGCGATGATAACGGCGACTGGCATCCTTGCGGATACCTCTCTCAAAGCTTCAATGCGGCAGAGAGAAACTACGACATCTACAACAGGGAGTTATATGCGGTTATCCGCGCACTAGATGAGTGGAGGCACTACCTCATCGGCAGCCCATACCCAGTGACGATTCTCAGCGACCACAAGAACCTCACATATTGGAAACAAGCCAAAGACATGAACCGACGACAAGCACGCTGGGCGAGTAAACTGACCGAGTTTGACTTCCGCCTGGTACACGTTCCTGGTACCCAAATGGTGCAGAGTGATGCTCTCTCCCGCCGACCCGACCATAACGACGGCTCTAATGACAACACCGACGTTGTTATGCTCCCACCGGAAGTATGGGTCGCTGCCATCGACATCGACACCCGCAACACCATCCTTTCCTTTAAGGACGACCCAATAATGAAGGAAGGCCTCACTGCGGCGCGCACTGGAGGAACACCACGCACTGGAACAGACTGGTCCATCAATGATGACCTCCTCTTGTACCAGTATCGGGTCTATGTACCCCCAGATGAGTCTCTTCGCAAACATCTTGTCTCCCACTATCACGACCTCCCCTCCGCAGGACACCCCGGTGTTCAGAAAACCCTCCTCGGCTTGCGCCATGACTACTGGTGGCTGAGCATGGCCCAGTTTGTTGCCCGCTATGTTAACGGCTGTGGCATCTGCCAGCAAATGAAGGTTAACATGCATCCAGCCCGTCCGCCCATCACCCCCATTCGACCCCGCGCAAATGCCAAGCCCTTCAGCACCTTCTCGTGCGATTACATCACCGACTTGCCACCGTCCAACGGCTTCGATTCAATTCTGGTCGTAGTGGACCACGACCTTACGAAGGGGGTGATTTTCATCCCATGTAACAAACAATTGATGCTCTTGGGACGGCAGACGCAATGTACCGAGAGGTCTACAAGTGGTTTGGACTCCCAGACAAGATCATCAGCGACCGAGGACCGCAATTTGCGTCCAAAGTCTTTCAAGAACTTTGCAAAATGACTGGGATTCAATCAGCCATGAGTACGGCATTCCATCCGCAAACCGACGGCGAGACAGAACGAGTAAACCAGAATTGGAGATCTACCTCGCTGCTTCACTGCCAAT